ATGGGTGAAGTGTCCCTTTAAGGTTTATAAAGCCTTCGAGCGGAGGGGAGTGGATTAAAATAAGGTGAAAAACAAACTCTGCACAGAAGGTTTTTTATTTACACTGACAACTAACACAGCAGGCGTATTTCCCATGGACAGTTCAGTGAGTGTTGACCTTTCTTTGAGGTGCTACAACATTTCTCTGACTTTTTTTTCCCCCTTACTCGACAAACAGCTGCTTTGAGACTTGACAGTAAAACAACAAGTCCTTCTCCCACACAGGTGTCAGACAACATCAGTGAGTGTTTGTTTGGTGTGTGTGTATTGAGGTGAAAGAGAAAAGACACGGGCAGAAACAAAGAGAATACCTCACTGTCCCCAAATCTGTCAAAGTCGAGTCCGTCCTTCCCCGTGGTGTTGAGCTTCAGCTTCAGGTTGGAGACTTCAGACATCAGTTCTAGTTTCTGGTTCTCCAGTGCACTTCTACACAGAAGCTCCTACAATGATACACGAAAACTATCAAAATTGTTGTAAATATTTAATAGAGTAAAAAAAGGTGACAACAACATGTACAAAGCTCACTGGTGTATTTGTGTTGCCTATGATGATGATGATTTGTGATGGTAGAATGGAAATTGGCCATCATTTTCTCAAAAGCCGCCAACAAGCACAAGGGGAAAGCCCTGCTACACCTAATCTCTATAACAGAGAACTGCATGAACGCAGAATCTGTGGGCAAACCACCAAGATTTTCTGGTTTCCATTTGTAGTCCCAGTTGTACTGACCAACTGTATTTAAGTACGCTGTGGCTGCATGAAGGTAAATAGTCCGTGTGGAGAGCAAGAGAGGTGGAACAGATTGAAATCTCAGAACCCATCGGCTATTGTCTCACCACGATTTGTCACTTTTATTTTACTTATCTGGTTTAAAAACTTAAAATCGGACTGCAGAGGAAGTCTTTTCTGGATATCCGTTGTCTTCACCAGAAGCCCTGAAACACTGGTCGTTGCCCCCAGACACTAAATTACTACACACCTTACAGTTGTGGAGCTGACACAGTGTCTGCTCACAGAAGGACGTCAAGTCAGATCTTCCCGATCCAGGTTAGTGTCCCTTCAACATAGGGCTGGGCGATAAATCGATTTTATAGCTAAACACAATTTATTTTAGTTAAAATCGGTTT